ATGTACTATCAGCATGTCCTAGAGTACTCTGGTGTTTTAACTATTTTGATAGACAAACTAGCATGTCTGTTTTTTGCTGAATAAAAACCTGCAAATTTGGTGTTGTAGGTAGGTAACAGAGGTTCTCTTTTTGCTGGGGCAAGAAGCCATGCTTACTGATTGGCAAGATCAGGTTTTCACTAACTGTCTCCATTACATGACAGACCACCCTGGTACACAGCGCAGCAAAAGCATGAAAGCCTAATGAGCCATGAACACATTACAATATGGGCTATTAAGAATGATGACGCTGTGTAATATCCAAGTACCTCTGCTTTCTCTTTGTAGAAACAGAGATCATTCCTACCTGTAGGCCTGACTTGGTAAAGCAGAAAGGGACAGAGAAATACTTTACAGAGCAAGGATTTTGCAATGCTTCTAAAGTCTCAGTGTTTTTTTCTGTCCCTTATGTAGCAGAAGCTTAAGAGCTTTGTTTTCTGGGCATTTTATCTCAGTCTTTTCCTCCCGAGTTACTTTTTGGTGATTCTCCTCTGTGAGATCCCTATGCTGCTGGGCTGCAGATGAGGCACTGCAATTCAGATGTTATTTGAGAGCTAAGGAAAAGCAGCTGGGCAGGTGGAGCAAAGGGAGAGAACAGAATGTACTGGAAACTTCCAGCACTATTTTTTTATGAGCACAAAAATTATACCAACACTTTTCAGCCACTGCAATAAATATAACAGGGGGTGGGAGTGGGGAGCAGGAGAATAAATAAATATAGACAAGGAAGCAAAACGTGGCAGCCAGTCCTTCACCTGCCTGCAGCTCGCAGCTGGCAAAAGCTCTGCAGCAGGGTTGGTCCTGGGCAGAGGGGAGCACAAACTAGCTCACCAGCTGAGAAATGCACACAGTGACTTCCCTTCCTCTCCTCACCCCTTTCCCATTAGGCAAGAGGAGGAGAGGCTCATTTCCCAGGCTAAAGAGAATAATAAGGTGACTATTAATAATATCTTCTTCTGCCAGCTAAGAATCTCAAAGCATTTCACAGTCATGAATTAGCCCCTGCACAAGTCCAGTGAGGCAGGGACAGTCAGTCTCAGTATCCTTGCTTTAAAGCACAGAATTTTGAGGATGATCATCTGGCTGCCAAAGCAGGCATCTGCTTTTCGTACCCCCAGTCTAGGGGGTAGGTATTCTCCCAGGGATCAGCTGTACGTGCCTGCTACATGTCTGGCACTTCTTCAAACCTTGCTTTTCAGAGACCCTTGCGTCCCCATCTTTTGCAGGCATCGGTGTGCTGTGCTACCCCCTCCTCCTTGCCTCCCCTCCCTGTCCTTATCCACAAGAGGTTTCTCCATGGATGGGCTCAGATGGAGCCCAGGCAAGGGCTGCCAGGATATCCTCGGCACTGTGTATTATTTGTTTCTCTCCGTGTCCATCAAATAAGGAGACAGATAAGCTTCTTCCCTCTCCCGCTCAGGGCTCCAGAGCGGTCACCCTCCGTGTATCCCACTGCAAACACTGCTGCTGCCGCAAGGTTGAGGGGAGAGAGCACTAATGCGTCTCCCTCCATGCTGCCACCGCCGTACTCACCATCTCATTGTAGGCATCTCTGCTGAGCCGAGGGGTCAGTTTGATGGTCCCCATAAAGACGAAAAAGAGCCCCAGGGCCACCGAGAGGGCGACGATGGTGATAGTCCTGGGAGATGCCATGGAGCCGCTGGGAACCGGTCCTGGGAACTGGTCCTAGCGAGGCCTTCTCGCTCTGGCTGCCAGCCCGGGCGGGAGGTAGTCCGTCACCATTGAAGGAGATGAGGAATAAAGCTGCAGAGGCGGCGAGGCTGACAGCGGGAGGGGGATTCAGCCTCCTCCACTTGGCAGCCTCCGGGTCCTAATGCCCCGCAACCATGCGGCCAGAGCCAGGCAGCTCTAGCACCTGCCCGGCGATGAGCATTGCCACCGCTCCTACCTCTAAGTCACCCTCTGTTTCCTTACACGTTCCATAAATTACCCACAGAAAGCTGAGACTGAGCCAGTTTTGGGGATGCGGATGGCAGCCAAACGCATAGCACTTGCTCAGCAGTGGGAAAACGGGGACATGTTAGCAGAGGGCACAAGAGTAACCTGCTACGGGGGAAGTCTTGTAGAAGTTGGAGGTCTCTTCTACATAGGCAGCTTTCAGTTTCAGATGCTCAGACACTAATACACAGCAAACAACATATTGCTTAATATATTTGCCCCAGAAAAGCAAAAAAGATGTCTTGCCCCTATGGCTCTCCTGGAACCTGATGCCCAAAAGGGATGGTGAGGCCACTGTGCCACCCTCCCCCATTGCAGATAAAACCTGTCCTGTATGTTCAGCTCTCCAGAGACTAGTGGAAAGGTTTCCTGATCCTCTGTTACTTCCTGATTTAAAGTCGTTATCTCTCCCCCTCTAATTTGCAACAAATTTCCTTTTGACAAAAGCATAGCCAGGGGAAGCAGAAAACCATTCAGATCTTGCAGCGAGAAGCCTAGGTATAATTATACAAAACAGAACTGCTGGAAAACTGCATCCTTTGCTATAAACTGAAAATAAGAGGCAGTAACAGTGTGCAAAAATCTTACACTCATGGGACAGTACAAGAGTGACACTTCCTATGCCTGTCAAGATTCTCCCCATCACCTCCCTTTCTGGCATAGTAAGTCTCAAGTCCTAAACAAATGTATTTTAAGCCCCCGTGGCTTGAGAACTGGTGGTTGTTGTTATTATTCCAAGCTCAGGGTTTCTTAAGACTCGAGCTACAAGTCTGAAAAATACAGGCAGCTCCCCTGTTTCCTTGGGAGTTTACCAGCCTTGATTCACCCAAATCAGATAGGGAATTCCTCTTTTGGATGAAAGAGTCAAATTTAACAGCCTGACTGTAGAAATGTGTTCTGCTACTGGTCTGGCCTAGATGACCAGGATAAACCAAAAGGTAACTTCAGTACAACATAAAAGTAAAAATCTAAAAAGAAAAATAAAAGGAACCCTCAAAACAACGTGAAGTTCACAAAACACAAGGGAACTCCGCTCACTCAGACCTACCTCCAGGCTGTAGCAGCTCCACCTTTTGAAGAGCTGGAGAGAACTTAACGTAACATTGAGGTTCACAGCTTGCCAGTCAGTGAGCATGGCAAGACAGATACAAAACACACTAAACTTTTGAATTAGCTATTGCAGAGCAACCTGGTGAGGAAATAACTTCTTGCTGCTGACATTTTCACAGGGCACTTCATATTTAGGTATCAGCAAGCATTAGTGCGGAAGGGGGAGGCAGGTGTGGAAGGAGAGACACTGAAACCTGTTCTCTCTTGATTTTGTTTTATAGAAGAAACTTTCTCATTGCCTCCAACTTACCCACGTGACTGATAGAGATTCAATATTGATTTTGGAAGTTTATACAGGAAATACTTCCCTGACCCCAAAAGCCAACATTTTCCCAGTCAAGCATGAGGATTTCTAGTTCCTACAGTTTCTTCATAGCAAGTTCGTTATCAACTTGAAAAACACCTGAAATATCCTTGAAGCAAGCAGAGAACTAATGGCATGGCAGTATTAGAAAATACAGTAGATGTTAGTACTTTGTATTCACATGTTGACGGTGAAAAACCACAACACCAGAGAGAGGGTATTTTCCAGACTACTTTAACCAGCAGCCCAAGAAAAGGTTTGCAGGAGAGGGAATGGTGATGAAATGCTGCAGAGAACCTTTTCACCCCAGAAATCCAAGTGTTTCCTTACAGAACAGTGTAGTTAGGCAACCCAAAGTAAGAGCAAAAGCAAAATTATTTATTTTTATACAACTTTCAAGTAAACAAGTTAAAATCCTAACTACATCGACTCCAGTCTTCAGGACAGTAGCTCTCAGCTTCTTCCCAAGCTCTCAGAGCTGGCATACCTGCCTCCTTGTTAGCGGGTGAACAGCAGCACCAGCTCACAATGAACAGTATGAGGAAACATGTCAAAAGGTATAGCCAATGCGGGGGCAAATGGCTCTCCTGCCAGCTTCTTCCCTGGGTCAGGTGGGCAGCACAGCCTGTGGAAAGCAAAGAGAGCATCCTTTACACCATCAGCAGAAGCCTTCCCACCGTTATCGGTAGCACAATAGCACAGAGGATGCACTAAGGAGGTATCGTGTGTTTGGCTAACATCCCTCAGAGTCTGCAGCTGACACTGGCTGAGGTCTGGAACCATCAATACTGAATCCCAAACCAGCTCTGAAAACCTCATGGACAAGCTAAAGAGTCAGTGGCAGCTTTAAAGCTCCCTTTCTCACAAGCAATCCCAGCTGAAAGGTACTTGATACCCTTAGGAAATAATCCTCAGTTTTGCACTACCTGCATTGGTTACCTGCAGACAGTTATCACCTGCAAACAGGCCTGCCCCAGATAAAGACTTAGCTATATGATTAACCCTAAGCAGGTGACTAATCCCTTTCGCTTCACTTCATTGGCTAGGGGCCAACCTTCCCTCAGTGAACCCAGTGGACTCCACATCCCACATCCAGATGTGCTATTTTGTTGGGGAAGGATGCACAATACCATTATAGCATGTTTGCATTATTTTCTATTCCTTACTGATGCACTAAAGCATCCTGCTGGAACATAAAACCCGAAGAATACCTGCTACCTTAAACCAGTGAGCGCAGCTTGCAGGTAAACCCAAAGTAACACAGAAGCATAAACCACTTCTTACCATGCACTGACTAGTCCTGTATCACACCTGCAGAACTCACCCAGTGAAATTCAGTCGCAACAAAAACCCTCCTAAACCAAGGTCAGATATTTATGTCCTTGTCTGGACATAATAGGGTCTGTCACTAAGGTCAGTGGAAAGGAAGAGAGGAGGGTGCTCACTCAAGAAAGTTCCTCATGGCTTCACCTTCTGGCTTGCAGGAGACGTAGAGCAGCCTTCGGATAGGCTTGCAGTTTCGGATGGCTCGCACAACCCTGTAATCTACAAAAAAAGATAATGTGCTTTCCCAGTGACCCACCACCATGAGCTCTCCAGAAGGAACGATCGCACAGCAAGCATCACAGAACTGCAGTGCACTGTCAAAAATACAGGGAAAAAAGAATATACATATTTTTCCATGTCGTGTCACAGATGCAGGCTTTTAGAAGGCCAGGGATGCAACCCATGCTGCTAACAGCTCAGCTGTTTTGGCAGGGTAGAGCAGTGGGAGAAATCCCTCTGGGAAGCAGAGGGATGAAGGATGAGAGAAAAATTGGACACAGAGGCACATAAAACCTTCCACACACACTTGTGAGACTGCATCTGGGCACCAGGACTGGTTTAGGACTTCCCAATACACACTGGAGCAAGTCCAGTGGAGACCACTAAGACAGTTAGAGGGCTGGGGCACGGCACGCACAAGGAGAGTGTGAGGGCTGCAGTTATTCAGCCTGGGGAAGAGAAGGTGAGCAGGGATCCATTTGCTATCTTCACGGGCCTCATGGGGGGATTACAGAGAAGATGGAGCCACAATCTCCTCAGAGGGGTACAAGAAGAGGATGAGAGGCAACAGATGCGCTGCAGCAAGGGGAAATTCTGATTAAATATACTAGGTAAAACATTTTCAGGAAAGGGTATCTACCCTTGGACACATTCAAACCTCAACTGGGCTTTATAGCCCTGTGCAACCCTATACAACTCTGAAGCTGGCCTTGCTTTATTTGGGAGATTGCACCACAGACCTCCAGAGGCTCCTTCTCTCCTAAATAATTCTGTGAGCCTATGAAAGATGGAAAAAAGATTAGAGCTGTCTGCTTTAAAGAGGAAGCATGATAAAGGCACTGAAAACAACAGCTCTGTGGGATTTTAACTGCTGTCAGCAACAAGGCAAGAAACTAGAAAGCTAAGCAAGCAGAGGGTTTGGAGCCAGTACAACAGGTCTCCCCGAAGTTGTTCAAAATACTCTGTTTTCAAGATGAAAATAAACAGCATATTCTCTCACGGAGCCCAGCCCGAGATGGGTTCACCACAGCAACAAGGGGTTGGGCATCCTCCCACGATGACAGGAGTTGTGGTAACACGGTCTCTGCCTTTCCACTGTGAAACTCACAGTTTGAAATTCCTGTGAAGCAAAAAGCAGCCACATGAACTCAGCAGTCAGTCTCACCAGATGTTAGGTATAACATGAAGTACTGCCCTGGAGGGGCTGTGTGGAGGTAACTTGTTAAAATCCCTCTGCTCCCTTCTGCTTCCAATTTTTTCAGCAGTTAGTTTGAAACTTTCTGCCATGGCTAGTTTGAACTCACCATTGAATGCTGCATTCCACCTGGCATCCTCTATTGCCTTCACCACCACCTCAATACCAATAATCTTGGACACTTGGTGAGCCAGAGAGAGACCAATTGTGCCTGGAAACAAGGGAAACAAAAATACTCCGTACATCCATGCTGAAGAAACAAGCCTTTAGATAGTGGGGATCATTTTTGGCACGCAAAGCACCAGCCCTGGGAGCCAGGGTCACACAGCCCCCACTCACCTGTTCCACAGCAGATGTCGAGCAGGATGGTGTCGCCACCAGCCTGACTCAGCTCTCCGACCACCTGGTACAGAACTTCTGCTGCACCCGTGTTTACTTGGAAAAAGGCATCTGGAGAGATGCGAAACTTCAGGCCTAGCACTTCTTCAAAGATGTGTGGCTCTCCGTGAAGGAGCTGGAAGGGGGACTCCTCATGGGAGCAGCGTGTCCTGGTGCTAGCAGAGCACAACAAACCTAGCTGTTAGACGGCAGCAGAGAGGCAGCTGATTTCCATTTCCATTCCTGGGATGCTTATGTGCAAGGGAGGATGGTTCTCCCCCCACCAACTTTTATTTCCTGTAAGCCTTTCAACAGGATCAAAGAATTTTGATTCTTTATAAGGGATCTGTAACTTGCACAGCCTAGTATTCATTAAAAGGATCAAAATTATTTTGCAGAAGGCAGCAGTCCTAGGGTCTATTCCCCAGTTTTGCTGCTAATGTGATTTACTATCTTGGGGAAGCCACTGTAGGTTTTTTTCTTTAGTTTCTCAGGCTCATAATTCCCATGAGGTAGAGCCGTAGTGTATTCAAGTATTTCAGGTCTGGGAAAACAAAAGATGTGGCCATCTCAAAACCACATCTGCAAGAAGCATCCAAACATCTGTCATTCTCTTCAAGCACTCCCTGAACTGGTAGAATTTGACTTTGATCAGAGAAGGGGGGAGAAAAAGGAGGTGATTTTGTTTCCACTGTTTCCCTGTGTCAAGACATATACCTCTCTTGGAAATATAGTGAAGTCAAGGCACAGATCGTTCCAGGTCCACACATGAAGAACTCCTTAAGCAATGCTTTCTGAGTAGCCAGTGCCTCCTGTCAAGAGCAAAAAAGGAAAACCTAGCTGTTTGGGTAATCTGATTAAACACCTCTCCCCAGCGATACACCTAGCAAGCTCAGGTCAGCCAGATACCTGATGTGCCTCTTGCTGGGTGCTCTGTGCTCCATGTACTCACCTGGCCCAGCTCCTGGGGGTGGAAGGTGATGATAGCCATGGTGTGACCATGCCTGGTGGTCCGTACCACGAGCTCCCGCCAGTGCCCACCTTCATGGAAGAGGATGCAGGGGTCCAGGGAGGAGTGACGGATGAACTCCTCATAGCACTGAGCGGAGGGGAAATGGCACTTGTGGTACAGCAAAGACAACTGGGCTGGTCTTAGCATAACTCTGTGCACCCCAAACAGGTGACCCTTCCTCCAGCATAATCTTTTTTTTTCTGTTTGATTTCAATACACTGAGTGAAAGGTCTTTCCAAGTTCTTGGAAGACAAGACATTTTAATAATTTCAATTCTTATGTATTTTAACAGATTGGCAGGAATTTATTGTCACTTGATTAACTTCATTCTTTGGGACAGTTTAGAGGCTGCAACATTAACATGCAAGTTTAAAAAAACCATTTATCCATCAACCAGTCAGGCCTGTTCACAACATGAAAATGGACTTGAAAACACAGCCTAACTAAAATTACAACGTTCTCCCAAATAAGAGTTATGGCAGTGCCTCTACTCCACAGTCTAGGGACAGACATGACTTACTCATTTACCTCAGCTACTTGTTTGTGTTCTGGGGGTATGTTCTCCATGTGGTTGGCTTTCACACAGACAATATTTCTTGCTGGAGAGAGACAGACAGGTATTTAATTGTTTTGTTTCAGGGCACATAAACCACTGTAGCATCTGACATGATAAACTGTGAGAGGCCTTTCCCCTGAATTCTCCCACTGTACAAAAAAAAGGAAGAAAAAAAAAAAACCACCTGGTATCTAAGTGCCCCACTAAATCCTGGGATGTTCTGGGTACTTGCAGTCTGCAGGACCTGCCAGAATTCCCTTTGCCAGTGATAACTGTCACTCACTTCCATGAAGAGGTTGGAGCTCTGGGAGCTTTTTAAATGTCCTCTAGCAACTCCCAAATGACCCACTGCACTGTTCTTAAAGTAAGGGAGCCAGAGCAGAGCAAGCTGGTTTTCTAACTGGAGAATAATGGTGTGGGCTTACAGCAGCAAAACAGTTTAGGTTGCCTGGAAAACAGCATTCCCACTTCAGTTTAAATGCTATCAGAGGTAAAATGCATCCATGGAATTATTTTTCAATGAGAAAAGTACACAGCAATCACCCCAGCACCTCTTGCTATGGGTGCTGGCAAGCAAAACCCAGTACAGACGGTATGAACAAGCTCACCACTGAGCAGCCTGCAAGGAGCACACAGCTCACATCTTTGCTGCACAAAACCAAACTGTCTCATGCATCCCAAAGGCTCCAATGTTGCTCTGCTGCTTATGGCCCGCCCCCCCCCCCCCCCCGCCCCAATGCTCTCCCTGCTCAGCACAGGCCCCCAGCACACGCCAAAAACACAGGAACAGCATAATTAAGAATAACAAAGCTAAATCCTGCAGGGGCTGCTACCACAGCTGTTGTCCTTACTGCTGTATTTAGCAAATTAGAAGCTGGTGTTTCTTCAGAGGCTAATGAAGTGAGGTTTTAAAATTGCTGCCCCAGACTTGGTGGTGTTTCTGTTGGCATCCCCCACGATTCAGGCTTCTAACTTGGGTGGAGGCTGTCACAGCAGAGCCTTGCCCCAACCCAGCCCATACCAGCAGTTTTCTACCCAGCTCCTTGTCCTGCGCTGACCTCTGCCAGTTCCCACATACAACCCCACGGTTTTGGGGTTCCCATCCGGTCCTCGGTTCACAGAGAAAGTAGATTTGTTTCGGTAGCCATTAATGATGGGCTGAAGGAGAAAAGAAGGAAAAGTAAAGCCTTGGATTAAAAGAAAAAGAGAAAGTAATGGAGGAAAGCCAAAACCCAGCCTGGTTGTTCTGTCGGCAACATGGGAAGATACACATGAATGTGCAAAACGCAGAAATGGAGCTTGTGCATGAGGCCCCCAGTACTTCCACTCGGGAAGAAGAAATGGCTCTCTGTGACATAACAGTGACAGGTTTATCAGGGAAGGCTTGGGCACAAAAAAGGGCTCCTAATCACTGGGCTTGTTTCACTCCCTGGCAGTCACAGGCTGCAAAGCAGAAGCTAGCAAAGACTGCCACAGACACATTCTCTGCAACCAAGTAACCCCTGCCATGAGACTCTTTGGGAGTCGAGTGGGAGACTGTCAGTGGCTCAGCGGGGACAGTGTCCCCACAGGATACTCACTGAAGGGACTACAGGCTGGAGAGGACAGCAGAGTCCATCAGGTTTCTGTGCATCTATGCCCAGCTTCTCAAGACGAGATGCCAGTGTCTGCAAAATCTTCCTCTGGCTTTGATACTTCACCTGCAGAGGAGTCCTAAGCCAGAAATACTCTTACAGGACCACACAACAGGGGGCAGCTCTTCATCACCCACCTCTGGGAAGGGCAACAGGAGGGAATACTGCAAGTGGGATATAGTCCCAGAGGAACTCTGCCTTTCTCATCACCACAGCTGCTTGGAGCAATGGGAAGAGAGAGAAATCCTGTGTCCATGGTCCCCAAGTGCTGGCCTGGAGCACTTGGTCACACACCCCATCCACAGGGAACCTCCCAGTTCTATCCTTCACAATAACTAAAGAATTAAAGCAGCAGTAAATAGGGTCTGAAGAGTTTACAGCATTAAGTGACTAAGACGCTAAGGGTTGTTGCTCAAGGGGGACAGGAGGGACAGCTGGGGCAACACGACAGAGAAAAGTCCATGTAAGCGCATCTTACCTGCAGCTGCTCTTGATAGGGAAGTCTCCACAGTGGAGTCACCGCGTTCGCTAACCTGGAAAGCACAACATCGCAGCAGTGCCCAGAGCTACTTGCCTCCTGATACTTATGGCATAACATCCCCACCATCTCCTTCATGGGGAGGACCATTCTGGTATGGGCTCTGCACCAGAGCTGGATGTGAACATCCAAACTCCCTTTTCGTGGCACCTTCCTGGTGCAGAATACTTGTGGCTGGAAGAGGGACCCAGGAACCACAATGACCAACTCTCAAAGGCTGAGCCTTTGGCAGAAGACTGACCAGCAATGCCTTGGTGTCCTGGGTAACCCAGGTATCTTTCTTATCCCCTCTAGAAGACAGGGCCAGGAACAGCGTTTCCCCACACACAGAGACCCAGAGATGCCCTGCCAAGCCTTGGGTGAGATCTGACTCCAGGCTGGCAAAGCCAGGGGAATGAGTATTCAGATGTTACTGGGGTCAGAGGGGAAAAAAAACCCCAAAGTGCAGAGAAGGGAACAAAAAAGAGATTATGTTGTAGCTTCAGATAGGCTCTGTTGCTTTGTCCCACTGAATCAGAGGCTTTGGCCATCCCTTGCTGCTCTGAGGACTGCCCAAGTCCCATCTCCCTGGAGTTTTCCCCTAAAAGAGCAAGATGCTTCCTTTCATCACTCAGTGCATCCATCCTGCATCATCTACCTGCTCACATTTCCAGCCACTACTACATCTTTTTGCTAATGCTAATTAAATTCACCGCAGTCAAGTGCACAGTTTGTGTGTAGCACGCAGGGAATTACAGGCTGCCCACTCTCACTGGCTCAGCCACCCACACAGCAGCAGTTTATAAATAAACCTCGGAACCTGCCACTACTTGCACCTGAAGCAGGGCGAGCAAGAACAAAACACATACAAGCCGATTTAAAAAAAAAAGACAGAGTAAGGTGCGAGGTGGATATGATCCAAACTATCATAACTATCCATCAACTACTGGCTCACTGAGCCCATGGAGAACCTCACCCCACAGCTGGATAAGCTGCCGTTATTGTTTCCTGGGATTTTTGGATCTGCTTCCAAAGCAACCAGCGCCAGCTGCTTTCAGGCACAGAACTGCAAATCAAACAGACTATTACTTTTTGCTTGCCAGTATGGCAACTGCTCTGCTCCTGCTCCTTTCCTCTTAGACCTTTTTGTTTCTTTTCCATTATTCCTATCCCCAGGCGAAGCTCCAGGGAAGCCAGCTGAGCCCTGGCTCTTCTATTCCTACTGGGGAGAGCTGGGCGTTCGTGAAACCCCCAACTGACTGCTCTAACCGCTTCAGGTGCTTGGTGCTTTGGAAGAATGCTTGGTCATTTTGGAATTGCGGTACCTCTCCTCCCAGGAGGAACCTGGCAGGCTGCAGCCCTGCCGGGCCTTTTTCTTCTCCTTCCACTTTGCTGCTGTCTTCTTCTCTGTCAGCAGGCTGTGGTCCTGACCGGGCAGGCTGCTCAAGTGAGCACCCGAAGGGCAAAGGCGCCAGTGCGGTAGCCTCAACGCCCAGGACAGAGCCATGGTGGGAAGGAAAGGGGCTGCACCCCTGCAAGCAGCACAGCGGGCCCAGAGTCAGCGTCCCAGGAAGTGGCACGTCAGCTACGGATCTGGAGGCGGGTAGAGAAAAACACCACGCTCGGGGCCAGGTCCGCTCCAGAAAGGAAACCACTTAAGTTTAAAAATACCCACGGCCGGTCTGACCAGCGGGTGCATTCTCCCTTGGCTCGGAGCTGCCGAGCGGTGCTGGTAGCGCAGCGAGGGGCCCTGCCCGGGGCCGAGCGGGAGGCGCGGAGGGAACGGGCAGCAAAAAGCGGCGTTTCGTTCCCCGGCCGCAGGCGACCGGCCTCCGGCGGCCACCGCGCTGGGGCTCGGCAAGCAGCGCCCGCTGCCAGTCCCCGCCGGCCCGGCCCGGCCCAGCCCTGCCACTCTTCCCGTAGCTCGGCCCCCACCTCGCCCGGCGAAAAGCTCGCTCCTTCCGCTGGCGGCCGGCCGCC